TACAAGTTAGTATTCCACTGCAGGTGTGCATGCCAATCTACACGATGAGAAGCAGATGCCTGGCGGTTCGACATGTGAGCATGAGCAAACAGAACATAGACTCCAAGAGGAAAGCTTGGTATAGCACCTGCCATGCCAGCGGCAGGAAATCTCGCGAGAGGAGTAGGAAGTGTCGGGGCAGCCCCTTGATTATTCCTTAAATTGCAGATTCATTGTTGATTATGAAACAATTTATTCTTTATTTATTTTTCAGTTTTCGAATGCAAAGAAATGGCGGTGGGTGCACAAGGTGAAAGGACTTTACGCCAGACGGCTCAGGTCGGGATCCTGCAGTCGTCCTTTTTGTTTGCTGTTTGCCGCCAGCAGCATTGTGAAAGAGGGAGCTCGGTTTGAATATGATCTCCCGATGAGTGTGCTCACAGCAGCAATGCCAAGAGCCTTGCACCGAATAGACCAACAGTGCCTACATAAAAAGATGCCAGCAAGCAACAGATGCATGAACCAGCGTACAAGGATTATCCCAAGGAACAAGGAACTAGAGGTGAGTGGGCATGGGGGCAGCCACCCAGGTATGGCGAACCTTAGGCGATATAGATATACATAGGGTTCAGCCTCCTGATGAGTCGGTGAAACTCCGACGAAACAGTTTGTCACAGCCCCTCGTTTGTTGTCCTCGTCTCCCTCTCTGCCTACGGTTTACCCGGCAGCTTTGTTTGTTGTCCTCTTCTCCCTCCCTGCCTACAGTTTACCCGGCAGCTCTGTTTGGCTATATATATATTGTCACAGCCCCTCGTTTGTTGTCCTCTTCTCTCTCTCTGCCAACGGTTTACCGGGCAGTTCTGTTTGTGACGATATATATGTATATATATATATCGTCAAACAGAGCTACCGGGTAAACCAAACGAGGGGCTGTGACAAACTGTTTCGTCGGAGTTTCACTATATATATACATTGTCACATAAGTGACATAACTATGAACTAAAAAAGTGCACTTTGCGAAACAAACGGCAAAAACTAAAAAATTAAAAAACAAGACAAACATGAAGGGCACACTGAAACCGTTCATTTTTCTCATTCTTCTTTTAACTCCCCCTTCACCGTGCCTCTCACGTACGATGCTCGCCACGTTGATGAAGTTGAGGGCGAGCTGCCCCCATCACGGTGTGCCACAACAGCCCACTAGAGGAAGGGAGAGGGGAGAGGAGAAGAGGAAGAGAAAGGGAACGATAAGATACGATAAGATAAGACAGACTACATACATAGATTAGATATGTATTTATAATTTTATATGTATATGACTGCTCGTTTCCTTGCACATATGTATATCCAATGACGAGCAATAGCAGTTCCAATGCTGTCGTGTTTGTGTAATTGATTTTGTATGGTTTTGTGTGCTGACTCGGAGGGCTTGCCAAGTTGTTTCGTTTGGGGGATTGGGTCGGTGCTTTCTTGCTGGTGGAGTCTTCTGTCTTAGTTTGTGGTTTTACATATGGGGCTGAAGTCGGCAGCTCCTGTGTCTATGACTAATAGAGTCCAGACTCCAGAACTTTTGTGCCGTGTGGATACACGTTGCTTTTCCATGCACGGGACGACTCTGCCAGGGCTGGATCCCTCGGCATCCTTTTTCTTTTTTATGTGGTGCGGTGGACCACAGATCAGATATTAACCTGATCAGATAACCAGATACTAACTACTACACTTGGACATCCTGCTAAGTGAAGAACAGTTACTGGATATTTTCTTTCTGGCATGCACCTGATAGTAGCACATTTTACATTTCTGTCTAACAGCCACTGCCTATGAGTTGCCGGCTCATTCTTCAACACAAACGCGGCCAATTTCTTTTTTCTGTCTGCTTTTTTCTGTTCTTTAATTTCTGAATTCAGACCATTTAATGGTTTACATGTGCCATCCTTGTGCAGGGAGGGCATGAAGGACTCCACAGTCCTTTTTCTGCCAAAGTCATTTGACCGCCGTTTCTTGCATTTCTCTTTTTTCTTATATATAGGTCGTTTTTAGATCCGTTTTTTTCTTTTTCTTTTTCCTCGTGCGTTTGTCAAGTTTAGCTTCCATCAGACACTGCTTGCAATCATTCGTTGTCTTTTTGAAAAGATCCATAGGTTCAAACCTTTTTGCAGATCTTTCCTGCCATGGAGCTTGGACCTTTTTTTCTAAGTTTCAGCTGCTTGTTTGAAAAATCAAAAATTTCATAGATCTTTTTGGAATTCTTTAAGGCTTTTTTTTTTGCCCCGCGTTTAATGGTCAATTTTTCAAGAAGTTAAGATCGCTCCCCGCCCCTCCTGCCCCCTAAAAAAAAGAAAAGGTGGAACCATACATCCAGTGCATCACGTGCGTGCAAGTTGCGCGCGTGCACCGCATAGCGCACGCACGTGACGAGGCACAAGTGCGGAAATAGGGTCTGTTAAAAAATTTTGAAAGGGAAGGCTGTGGAAGCCAAATGTGCCCCTCCCTTCTGAACATTGCAAGTGCACACAAAAAAAAATTGGGCCCACATCGTACTCCTCACTCGATCTAATCTCTTTTCCAAAGGGCCCCCATCAGAGATTTAGCAGGAGTCCCAATCTTTGGAAAGATGCTCATCCAACTCTCTCTCTCTCTCTCTCTCTCTCTCTCTCTCTCTCTCTCTCTCTCTCTCTCTCTCTCTCTCTCTTGCGAGCGTGCGCGCGAGCGTATACACATCACGGTCGCCTTTTTTTTCCTTCTTCTTTTTTGCGCATCAGCGATGAGCACACCGCACCTTGCACCGCACCTCACATATGCGCCGCAAGTATGGGTGGAACCATAATGTCTTCATCTTCCACATCTGCTTGCTAGGTGCAATCAACCAATTTTTTCTTTTTTTTTCATTCACTGCACAAATGTATGATGCACTATGGAGCACACTGCTACGTAGGTACGGACTGGGCACATACAAGTCGAGGGCTATACTCATACGCCTGGTAACCCTGATTCGCACGTAGAACCCCACATCTATCATAAGACCATGCATAACCCCTCAGGAATGACACACTCAAAACTGATGGCAAAGCTATGGCCTTAGCTTTTTGCAGATTTGCTGTGGATTTGAGAGGTCCCTCGAGAAGCTATCGTTTTTTTATTAATTTGGACTGTTTCTTGATTTATGTGAGTCATCCTTGTCCAGGGACCATGCTAATCTTCTCTGTACCGTTACAATTTTAACGGATGTCCAGAAGGACGCTCCCTAAAGAATCCAAACTAAACCTGACGACTTGACAAACAGTCAATAGTTCAAGTACATTACTCTGTCAATCCTACACCTTCAGGATTAGCAGCAGTGGATGTGAACAGCACTAGTCCCACAAAACTTTCTGGAAGAGTATGGGCCTCCCTCCACTACACAACACTCTATATGCATTTGGACGCTTTCTGGAACCGATACATTCAAATGTTGGACTCGTCAAAATGCACCTCGTCCAGGAAACGTCCAAATGAATGTACAGTGTTGTGTAGTGGAGGGAGGCCCTGTGTCGTAGAGATGAACTATCAAGAATGCCTTGACACCTGAGGTAGGTAATGCAGTGACACACTCAATGTCAGCCTCAACGAAGCCCAGACAGCGGAGAACGGACCTAGTTGTTCCAGGTGAACGGTACTAAAAGCAAACTTAACCAGACAGAACCTCTTCTTCTCCAAACCAGACTGGAGGAAGTCGGCACAACTGCAACAGGATGCATGACGGACGTGGATGGCCCCGCAAAACGACAATGGCGAAGTGAACCTGGGGCAAACCCAAGCTTGTAAACCTGCAACTGGTAGCTCGTGTACGGGTTAACCCGCATGTAACCCCTGCTGCCGAAGTCCTGCTAGTTAACCCGGCTGGAGCTATGATGCGAGCCCTCAACATTGACATGAGGTGTGCCTTTGACTGTTGTTTTCACAGAAAAATATCCTGCAGCTCTTCAGCCGTAACTGAAGATGATGATGCTGTTGATCTCCTTTTGTCCTTTTCCTTTGGCATTTCCTGATTCCCTAAAAGGTTAGTGTTTTGCGTACCATGCTTTTCTGATCAGTACTTTCTGGCCTCAGACCTCCTTTGTGCACGCACAGTTTTGAACCGGCGCCCTTGGCCACGAGCGCCGAGTCTCTTAACCTTACCATGTCACCAGGTAAGGCAAGATCGTTTCGTCAGAGCTCCTGTAGCCCAGTCCTACGGAGTCATCGCTGATGACATTCAACATTATGATAACATGGAAATCCCAAGACGTTCGACATTATGATGACATGGAACTCCCAACACATGTGTGGAAGAAATCTCCAGCATCATTGTTGACATCGAACAAATCCTAAAGCAAGCACCTTTGTCACGGCCATGTGCCTAGCAACCCTCTGCAAGCAGTAGAACAAACACTAATGCTGCAGGGACACTCTTCTCCTTAGCAGCCATGCACAAACTGGACTCCCAATTCTGTGTCTGATGGAAGGGGGATGGAATAGAAGATTGGCTGGGGCCCCACACACACTTCAGAAAGAGTGAGTGAAGATAGGGTGGTTCGTGGAGACGGAAAGGGTAGGAGAGGAGGGAGGGGTGGGGTGGGGGGGGGAAGGGTGTTTCCGAAAGGAAACACAATCACGATTCGTTCCAATCCTATTATCCACTCAAGGG